AGTTTTCAAGGGGGATGGCATTCTTTAGCTTGCAGGAGGTCATCAAAACAATCGGTTACTTTCAGAGACGTGTGCTCGACGGTGAAATATACGCATTTCTTAACTCTTTTATCTGTTTAACTAACGCTAGTTTTGCAGGTATCGGTGTTACAAGAGTGATTTAGGATTGCAGAACGTTCTGAATCATTCTCCGTCCCTATCGATACTTTGACTTTTCTTTTCGAAACTTGCGTTTCTCCAAACTCAGTCAAAGTGGGGGATTCTGTAGACACCCATTTGTGTCTCCCCAAAACAAACCCAGTGATGAGTACCTTTCACGTCGAATCATAATCGAATGAAGTGAAAGTGTGGAAAGTCTAGTGTTGCGGATAGTTTTAATTTCTTTTCTCTTCTCTCTGTTTTTAAAAACTTATTTTAAGAAAACAGCCAATCTAGTTTGGTTGGTCCATGATATAGGTCCAATAGTAGTTTAGTTGGATGGGGCTTGACAAGAGCTTTCCAACGATATATTATAAGCCCAATTCCGATGAATATTGAGGAAGTTATGGCCAATTTACTAAACTGGGCCCGGTTTGAGCCTTATATGCGGCCTAATGATCTAGGGGAGGGCCTAATATGATTTATCATTCCTAATGCAATTAGGAATGGTTTTAGTCTTCTAGATTCTTCTAGAAGGTTTTTTTCATTCCTAATTCAATTAGCATTGATAAATTGACTTTTCTGAGTTTTAATTAAAATCAAAGAGCATTTTTGAGGAAAAGATACGATTTTATCCTCCTGTACGGAAAAATTTATCTGATTTGAGAAAACGCGTCAAAAACAGGTTTAGCGCCAAACGCTAAGCCTGGCGCCTGGCGCTAAGCCTGACGCCGATAAGCTGGCGTTGGCGCCAGCTCTGTTTCTGTGCGCCAATGCTTTGTTTTGTTAATTGTATATTTTTGGCTGATTTTCTCTATAAATAACGTATTAAAAACTCCGTTTTTGATAACGAGATTTCATCTAAAAAACAGTTTTAACGAATACATTCACCTACAACCATTTTTCATTCTCTCATTCTTTAATCATTCATCATATCCATCTCTCTTTCTCTTTTCTAAACTAGTCTTTTATATACAAAGTTCCGCATTCGCAAGATCTAGAAACACCTAGCCATATTCGAAGTTGCCTTCGCCCTAGACGTGAAAGGTTTAATTTATGAGGGTTTGGTCCCAAATCTCTATTTCAATTATTTAATTTAATTGTTTGTTTATTATTTTCCTTGAAATTACTAACGTGTGTATTTTGTTATTAGAAAGAGGTACGAGGCATCAAAGTAAGTACTTTAATGGTTTTTTTTATTGATGTTATGATGTAGAAATCATGTTTAAATTGTTATTATGATATTCCTAGTATCATGTCTAGGGTAATTTTAATATTAAATATGATTGTTACGATGCCTTTTATTCTCTTCCTAATATTTATGATTGTTAGTATCAGGTTAGGGTTAAAGATTTGATTTTTATTGCTTAGTGACATGCTAGGGTTTGTTATTAATCTTGTTAGTATCATGTCTAGGATCTTGCTATTTTTATTATGCTTTATTGTTAACATGATTATTTTGATTATTGTGATTATTATTATGTTGCTTGATTATATTTATTGTTATTGCTTGATCACACCTTTAATGCATGTTTAAAGGGAATTGGTACTTGTAATCATGCTTAATAAGATAATTAATAATCTTGTTTAGGGTTAATATGATTATAATTTCAAGTGATCGCCAATAATAGTTTTGTTTGTGCATTAAATTACACCAACATAGATAAACAGGTTTAGGGTTAATCCTATTGATTGCATGTTAGTCAAAAAGCGCACATGAATACGATCTGAATAAAGTAGAGGCCTATTATTAGGGCAGGTTCAATCTCTTTTAGGTTGGATTTGTACCTTCATCCCCGAACCCTTATTTGGTTCTAGACCTTATGGAGTTGACGATCTCTTGGATCGTTAAGGGGTGTAAACTTCACCTCGTGAACGGTTTACAAGTTCCTAAAAAAACTTGTTGGCGACTCTTTTGCTCTATCTTCTTTCCCTTTGGACGCCACCATACTTTAGTGTATGATAATAGTGGGGTTCAAGCTAGGGGTTTAACGCTTGAATTTATTCCCCACAATACCTTACTTTGGTCTTTCCAGGAATATAGTGTGCTAAATGTTGATACATTAAAGAAGGAAAATTAACCTTGATTTTCTTAGAAATGCAGAAAATTACTGCCATATCCATCAAACATGCTTCCCCTTTCTTAGCAGTTCTAGGCAGAATTGTTTTCTTAACAAGGTTAAACAACAATTTGTTCATGGGACTTAGATCATTGTTACTCATAATGTTCTTCCCCCTTTTTCCTCCTAAAGCTTCAACTATATCCCCACTCATATAATTTCCCACTTTTACACTCGCTTTTCCTTTGATGTAAGTTTCATATCCTTCAGTAGGAGTTTTCAAGATTTTGCCTAGGGTTTCAACATTAAGTTCGATTTTAATACCATCAACTTCACTAGTAATTACCCCCAATTTTGCTTCAAAATTTTGACAAAATTCAGTCATTGCAATTGGATATATGAAATTATCTAATGCTTTTGTCAACAAATACTCCCACCCCTAGAACTTAATTAAATCAAGAAATTCTAGGAACTTAGCTTGTTTAACCCAATTCAAGTCAATTCTATGACCAGCTACATACCTCCCTGCTTGTGACTCAAGTTCAGCTTGATCAGCGATCTCCTCTTCTTCCTCCTTCTCCGATTCTTCTTTGTTCCCTATCTCTTCAGCGAAATCCTCAACTTCCTTAATGTGCTCTTCAACCGTCTTCCTTTGTTCTTTCTTTTCTTTCCATTCTTTTAATGTTTTAATGAGTTTCTCATAGGTTAGGTTTTCGGTTTCAGCGGGTTTTGGATTTTGCAAGTTTTCAGAAGAGGGGGGGACTGATTGTGTTTCGGTGAAGGAGACAATTGGAAGCGATGAAACTTCTTCTTGCTCAGTGGGATGATTGTTTTGTGAGTTTTCGGAGGAGCTAAGAGTGGTAATTATGGCCATTGTTTTCTTTTAGAGGGTTTTAGAAGGGTGTAAAGCTTTTTCACAGTGGTGTAAATTTGATTTGACAGTGATGATGTAAGGTGGTTGAAAGGGGCCTTTTATATTAAATGAAGCGGTGTGAGGAATTTAAGGGGTTTTATTGTGCAGTCATTAATTAAACAAGTTCAACTAATTTTTCCGAAAATATGCAGGATGAATTTACCAAAATTATTTTCTTTCCAAATTCATTTGATTTTTGAAAAAAAACTTACTGAAAATAAAACACGCAATTGGAACACGCTTTCTACACGCAATGTGAACACACTTTCTACACCCATAAAGAGCTTTATCAAGCTTGTAGACATGGTTTGGGAACTCTGGATTTTCAAATCCAGGAGGTTGTTCCACATAGACCTCTTCATTTAGGAAACCATTTAGAAAGTCACATTTAACATCCATCTGGAACAACGTGAATCCCATATAAGTAGCAAAAGCAATAAGTAAACGAACAACCTTTAACCTGGCTATTGGAGCAAATGTTTCTTCATAGTCTATCCCTTCTTGTTGATTGAAACCTTGTACAACAAGTCTTGCTTTATTTCTGACAATAATACCATGCTCATCCAGCTTGTTCCTAAACACCCACTTTAAGCCTATCGTCTTCTTATCCTTGGGTCTAGGTTCCAGATGCCAGACTTTATTTCTTTCAAACTCATTTAGTTCAGCTTGCATAGCATTAATCCAGTCTGCATCAGTTAAAGCTTCACCATAGTTCTTAGGTTCCATAGAAGAAAGGAATGCATAGAATGCACAGAAGTTTCTAAGCTGAGATCTGGTCTGAGTTCCTTTTGTAATATCACTCATGATTGCATCTACAGGATGTGACTTCTGATGTTTCCATCTCTTAGGTGTAAAGTCCTTGACTGGATATAGTCTTTCCCGATCACTGTTGACTGGTTCTTCTGTAGGAACTTGTTCTTGAATCTCAGTTGGAACTTCAACAGGATTTTCCTCATTCTGATCTTGAATCTGTTCTTGAGAAGGAGTTCCTGGTGCATTCTCCGTTTCTGGTTCTTCATTTGCTTCTGGATTCGTTTGCTCAGTAATTTCAACTTGCTGCTTCTGAAATGATGTTGATTTTTCATCTAGATCTGTCTCGCGTACAATTCCAATTTCAAAATCATTATCACATTCCTGTACATCATTTTGAGATTGTTCAGTTTCATCAAATATAATATGTACAGATTCCTCAACACACATTGTCCTTTTATTATAAACTCTATATTCTTTACTATTAGAGGCATATCCTAAGAACACTACCTCATCACTACGTTCATCAAACTTCACCAAGATCCTTTTACCATTGTTATGAACAAAGCATTTACAACCAAAAGATCTAAAGTAAGAAATATTAGGTTTTCTCCCTTTGATTAACTCATAAGGAGTTTTGTTGGTGATGGCTCTAACTGATACTCTGTTTAGAATGTAGCACGCTGTATTCACTGCTTCTGCCCAGAAGTTCCTAGGCAGACCACTTGAGATCAGCATTTCTAGTCATATCTTCAAGGCTTCTGTTCTTGCGTTCCACCACTCCATTTTGTGTGTGGGGTCCTTGGGGCAGAGAAGTTGTGATCCATTCCATGCTCAGTGCAAAATTCATCAAATTTTGAATTTTCAAATTCAGTTCCATGGTCTGATCTGAGGTGAATTAATGGATTACGTGTTCTTCTCAGTTTTTTCTTTAAAAAAGCTACAAATTCATCAAACGTTTCATCTTTACTAACAAGAAAGAAAACCCAGGTAAACCTTGAAAAATCATCAACAATAACCATAACATATCTCTTACCACTTCTACTTTGGATTCTCATAGGACCACATAGATCCATATGAACAAGTTCCAAAGGTCTTTTGGTACTTACCATTTTCTTAGACTTAAAAGAAACTCGAGTCTATTTTCCTCTAACAAAAGCGTCACACACTTTGTCATACAGGAACTTAATGCATGGAAGTCCTTCCACTAGTTCCTTAGATCTCAATTTATCTAGTAAAGTGAAGCTTGCATGTCCAAATCTCTTGTGCCACAATAAAGGATCATTCTCAATGACACTAAGACATGTTAAACTGCTATTAGGAACTTCGTTAAGATCAACAACATATGTGTTTCCTTTACGAGTTCCTTCTAAGATAATGTTCCCAGTGTCATTGTGAATAATTCTGCACTTATTAGAAGTAAAGCTTACAGAGTTACCTTTGTCACAAAATTGTGAAATACTTAATAAGTTGTGTTTGAGGCCCTCGACCAAAAATACATTATCAATAGCATGGGAACTTGACCTTCCTACTTTGCCAACAACAACTATATCTTCTATCATGTTATCACCAAAGGTCACAGTTCCCCCATAGTAGGCATCCAGTGAGAGAAATCTAGATTTGTCTCCAGTCATGTGCTTAGAACAACCACTGTCAAGGTACCAAGTATTGTTCCCCCTCACTGGAACCTGCATGAGAAATCAAACATTAGTATCAGGAACCCAAGTTTCCTTGGGTTCCTGTGTACAAACAATAGGTTTATTCTTTTTTATCCAAATCTGTTCTACATGTTTTTCATTTTTCTGTGTGCTCTTTTTTTTCTTAGGACACTTAACCTGTTTGTGTCCTGTATTGCCACAAAAATAACAAACTATACTATTGGGCAGGTCAACATACTTCTTTTCCTTTTGGAACTTCCTTTTGAAACCCAAACCTTCTGTTCTTTTGGTTTCAGCTTTGGTGATCCAATCTGGAACTCTGTAATCTACAGGTTGTTTGCCTTTCCTGGCTTTCTCAAGTCCCCCCTCAAGTCTTGCCTTATTTGCTCTTATATCTTCCAAATCGGATTTTAGTTTTTCAAAATTCGGATATTGAGCAAGTGGAGGAACTTCAGAATCAGGTGCAATAAGACAGAGTTTCATCAAGGATAGTTCCACATTTAATATGATGTTATCATGTTTCAACCTGTTTATAGTTTCTTTTAAATAGTTATTATCATCAAACAGACTAAATAATCTATATTGAATATCTAATTTCATATTATCAACCCACTCACTGTTTTCTTTAAAAGTAACCAAAGCTTCATCACTTTTCTGTTTAGCTTTATGCAATTCTTTCAATTCTTCTTGAATTTCTAAAACAACTAATATTAGGTTTTCTTTAGTGAAATGTCTAAGTTCTTTTTGAGAAAACCATACCTCAGATTCTAGCTCCTTCAGTTTTTCCTTTTCATCAGTTTTTGCCATCAAACATAGATGGGAAGTTTCCTCTGATGGTTGTTCTTCCTCTGAATCTGAATCTCCCCAAGCAGCCAACATGGCTTTCTTCACGTTGTCCTTGGTGAAGTAAGGTTTATAGACTCTTGACTCTTTAGATTTTTCCTCCCTTTATCTTTCCTTTTACACCATCTGGTAATGGACAATCTTTAATGAAGTGATCTTTCGAACCACACTTGAAACAAGTTGTGTTTCTGGAACTTGCATATTTCTTGTTCCTATCAAACTTCTTGTAGTTCATCACCCTTTTGAACTTTCTAACTAGCATTGCCATTTCTTCCTCATAGGCTTCTGATTCCTCAGAGTCTTGGGCCTTAAGAGCAAGACTCTTGTTCCTGGAACTTTCAGAGTTGGAACTCAGATGTAGGTCATGAGTTATCAATGATCCAGCTAGTTGTCCCATGTTAAACTTTGTGAAGTCCTTGGCTTTCTACATGGAAGTAACCTTGGATCTCCATCGTTCATCTTGTGGTAGACTTCTTAAGATCTTCCTAGCCTGTTCATCAATAGGAATGTGTCTGCCAAGGGAATTCAATTCATTAATAATATCATTGAACCTAGTAAACATTTCCTCTATAGTTTCCTTTGATTGCATTTCAAACCTTTCATATCTAGATATCAATAAATCAATCTTAGAACGTTTTACCTCATTTGTACCTTCATGAGTTACTTCTAGTAGATCCCAAATCTGTTTAGCAGACTTGCATCCCATGATACGATTATGTTCATGAGGTCCAAGTCCACAGTGCAAATACTTTATAGCTAAAGCATTTAGTTCAAGTTTCTGATAATCTTCTTTATCATAATCAGAAATAGGTTTAGGAACTACCTCTTTCTTTTCATTGGTTGCAGTTATTTCAAAATCACCGGTTTTAATGACACGCCAAACCTGGTAATTTTCTGCCTTGATAAAGATCTCCATCCTGTTCTTCCAGTATGTGTAGAACTTACCATTGCACATGGGTGGACGTTGGGTAGAATACCCTTCTTCAAGTTTCTCCTTGTAATTCATCTCTCCAGGAACTTACTCAGCAAAGTTATTTGCTTACACGTGAGAACCTTGCTCTGATACCAATTGTTGGTTGAGACGTTTAATACAAGAGGGGGGGGGAATTGTAATAAGTTTCTAATGACTACTTTTTGCGGATGAATAAACAATGCATGTAGGAACTTGCTAAAACACACAGATTTTACGAGGAAACCTTCCAGGGCCCAATTGGAAGTAAAACCTCGACCCTACCTTAGGGATTTCAAACACAAAACACTTCACTATAATAGGGCAAACACCAAGTTACAACCTATTAGACACGGACCTTTATTTCACAAGTTCCTCACTGGACTTGCTACTTGATAGGACCCTATCCTACCCAATTTAAGTACCACACTTAGATTCACTCGTACCACCAAAATACTACACGTACTTCCAAAGTACAAAATACTTGTACCACCTAAGTACAAAACTCACAGCCTCACCTAGAAGCTTACAAAACTGTATGTAAAACAAACAATAAACTCACCCAAATAAACCAACCCCAATACAAGTGTATGACACCTAGTATGATAGGTAAGCAATGCACAAAATCCGAAACTAATATGACAAGTTAGAAGCTTGGTAAACTTACTCAATTATAGCACTGTGATTTCTCCACACATAAACTTACAAAAACCTAAAACCATTTTGCTCTCTACTATTTATACAAGTAACACTCGTATAGAAAGTAGGTTTTCTAAAAGATAAATAAGTTAACTTATCTTTAAACACGGTTTTATGTAAATTAAGTGGGATTAAATCTTTTCCGAAAAATAAGATTAAAAAGATATTTATTAAAGAGATTTATCTTTTTAACAAACCGATTTAAAGAAAATAATCATTTAAAAAAAATCTTTTTCTAAAATCTATCTTTTATTATTTTCCATATTTATTTTATTTACCAAGCAAACTTATCACGCTTCTAATAAATTTCGTGCACTAACCTACTTAACATATTAACAATAATTTATAAAATAAAAACCTTAACTAAATATTATTGCTGCGCCGCACTTTGAACAGGTAGATTACTTGGGCTCCAAGCGTAATAAGTTCCACCAAAGAACTTAAACTTGCTTGTCTTCAAGTTCCTGTTAGGGAACGATCCTGTTAGGGAACTTAGTTCTTGTTAGAGAACTCTTCCTCTGATTTGTTTGACTTCTTCAATAAAGATCTCTTCAAGTCTTCTTAGTTTCAGATACTTCTTCAATCACCAAGATCAATCTTCACCTAAACTAATCACACACTAGAGAACATTTATTAGTTGAGTTTGCTTTAGTTCAAGTTCCTCATCATCAAACCATTATGCTTCAACACTATTAATGAACAACCTATTGCCCAAATAAATATTGGAGATAATGATAATCATGTACTAATTCCAGAGATTGAGGATAGTTTTTAACATCTACAACACAATCATCTAGAGGAGCAGCATCAAGCTATTGAACAACCTGTTAGCCTATATAATGGAGATAACCTGTTGGCCTAGGAAGCCTCAAGTCAAATGAACACAATTGATAAAGCATGCAGACTGTGAACTCGGATGTGGAGGTCGTGCATATGTAAAAGTATCATCAAAGATATGCAAACCAAGCTGAGATAAATGTGAAGAAGGCTGACGAAGGACGTAAGGATACTGCTCTCGAGCTCGAGCAAAGCTAGGTCCAAATGAAACTTCTAGAGAAGCAAGTTGTTAAGAAGAAGCTTTTAGACTATAACAAGCTAGCAGCCAAAATTGCCAATCTAGAGAAGCGCTTGAAAGCTAAAAAGACAAAAAAGGCGGGGCTACTGCTCTCGAGTTTGAGCAAAACCAGGTCCAAATGAAACTTGCTTGTGTTTTTTTCATGGTATTTAAAAAACTCTGGTACTTCCTCCGTCCCATAATATAGTTCTTGTTTGTGTTTTTTCATGGTATTTAAAAAATACTCGTAAGAGGAGAAAGTGGATAAAGTACATAATAAAAGTAAAAAGTACGATCGTAGACAAAATTTAGAGAGATAAAGTGAAAAAAATATCAGGCATGTGCAAAATTCAAGTGTAAATTAGGAAGTGCAATGAATATAATAGTCTTTACCTACTATTCATAAATGGAAACAGAAAACAACATTTTAGGTCTCCAAAATAGGAAAACAGGAAGTATATTATAGAACGGAGGACATACTAGAGTTTTTTTTTTTTTTTTTTTTTTTTTAAAAAAAAAAATAAAGATAAATTTGGTGGAAAGTGGCTATTTAGCTAACAAAAAAAAAAGTCATTTTTCAAACAACTAGGTTCAATCCCAAACCATGCAGGGATGTTGAATAGTTATAATAAAAATGTAATACTTATATAATGTCATCATTGCCCTAATATTAGAAAATCAATTTTTTTTAAAGCATAACCGATTGTAACCGATTTAACTCAGCAGAATTTTTTTAAGGAAAAATTGCTTGCTCGGAATAATCCGATCTTTGCCTCATCCGCCCAAAATAATCCCACCTTTCGATTATTTTTTAATAATCCGACTTTTATACCCAATATGCTTCCAATGGTCCCAAATGACTTGAAACCGGCTAAAGAGGTTACAATTTGTAACTTTAGATTGTTTGCACATGTGTCACGTGATTGGACAAAAGAGAAATAAAAAATTAATTAAAAAATATTGAAAAGTTAAAAAAAAAAAACCACGGCCAGGCAGACCCCAACGAAACCACCTCCCCTACACAGCCCGGCCACCGGAATCTCCTCCTCTACAAAGCCCAACAACCAAAATCTCCTCCTCTACACAGCCCAAGCGCCGAAATCTCCTCCTCTACCCATCCCAACCACCGAAACCGTTTCTGTTTGCGATTTGGGTGATGCGGTGTGTTTGCAATTTTGGGTGGTGCGTTTGGTGTTTGCGATTTTGGGGCTGATTGGATGGTGCGTTTTTGGGGCTGATTGGGTGTTTGCGATTAAGGGCTGATTTTGGGTGGTTCGTTTGGTGTTAGCGATTTTGGGGCTGATTGGGTGGTGCGTTTGCGAAGGAGTAACAGCAGGAGTATCGTTGCTGTTTTAGTGGTGTTGCAGGCTAGTGCTGGGATTGGTGTCGGCCGGAAACTGGGAGGGGAAGGAGAGGGGATTTGGTGGCCGGAAACAGGGAGGGGAAGGGATATGGTGGTCGGAATGGGTAGAGGACGGTGGCTGAACTGCCAGAGGGTTTGTGGGTTTTTAATTTTTTTTCTATTTTTTTAAGTTTTTTTTTTAAAAAATTTTAGACCAATTATAGGCCGACACGTGTCTAGCAACTTGTAATAACAGGTTGGATGACCGGTTGGGACCATTTAAAGCGGAAGAGGTATAAAGGTCGGATTATTTAAAAATAATCGAAAGGTGGGATTATTTTTGGCGGATGAGCTAAAGGTCGGATTATTTCGGGCAATTTTTCCTTTTCTTAAAGCAAGTACTCTATCAAATTTGAGTACTCACTTTGCAATAACTGAAAGGTGAGTACCTTATTTGCAATTTTCTTGATAGTTTAGAAGTATTGTGCTTAACTCATTTTATGTTATTCAAATAAACCAAAAACTACCTTTTTCACTATTTTCCTAATTTATTTCTCAACTCATTTTATGTCATTCAAATAAACTGAAAACTACATATTTCACTATTTTCCTAATTTATTTAAAGAGACTCTAATAACTACCAACTAGTATATTTTTTTCGTGTATTAACACGGATACGCTCTCATTTTATGTCATTCAAATAAACCGAAAACTACCTATTTCACTATTTTCCTAGTTTATTTAAAGAGACTCCAATAACTACCAGCTAGTATATTTTTTTCGTGTATTAACACGGATATGCTCTCATTTTATGTCATTCAAATAAACCGAAAACTACCTATTTCACTATTTTCCTAATTTATTTCAAGAGACTCCAATAACTACCAACTAGTATATTTTTTTCATGTATTAACACGGATACGCTCTGGTATACGAAATCTGACAGGGCAAGTGAGTGAGAACCGTAAAGACCACTCCCTCCATCTTTGTGCAACAATTTGGTACAATCGTGCAAAAGCGGTTAACGTGCAATTTCAAATCTCCTACTTCTTCGGATCAACCAACCATTTTTAAATCAAATTCTTCTGAGCAAAACCCAGATGACAGAGTCACCCACTAATCCCACATTTGATTCCCACGATCACCAAAACAAAATCCATGAAATAAACGACTCTCAAATCAAAATCCCAGTTGAAATTGTAAGTGAGGAAGAAATGGCTTTCATTGAAGCTGCCTTTTCCTTAGCTTCTCGCCGTTCTTCACTCTCTCTTTTCTGTTCCACCTCTTTTCAATCTGTTTGGGTCCAATTTAGTCAAAATTGGGCCTGGGCACTAAATGATCCAATTAAAAGCCCAAGGTCAAGGTTCAACTCTCCAATTGCTCAAAAGTCAAAAGTCAGCCCACAAAGTAAGCCAATTGGGCTAAAGCCCAACCTCTCCAAGTATGATGAGGTATAAAAGCCCTCATATTAACACATCTCATAACATCACATACAAGATCAACGAGATCAGACACAACAACAGGCACAACATCACATGCATTATCTCATACACGGATTATTGCAATTCATATGCTCATTCTTGCATTGAGAAATACTCCACAAAAGCCTCAAGCTACAAACTCTCTTGCATAGTGTCTTCCTTTTTACACATTGTACTGACTTTAGCATCGGAGGGGCCTTCCTCGGAAACACCCCCGAGGCTAGTTTACGTGTGTTCACTGTGCAGGAAACCTTCGGCCCAACACAGCTTGGATCGAATCCAGTCTTCTCCATTTTAGTGGACCTTCGGCAAGGTCCCATTGTTTTCAACCGAAACACAATCTATTTCCATTGCTTCTAATAAAAGATTCTCCACTTCAATTGTATGTAATGATTTCGAAGATTTGGGTAAAACTCAAAGTCCCAAGAAAAAGAAGAACAAAGTTTCTGAATCCCTTTTGAATAAATATAGGAAGAATAGGGGATTGTCTGTCACTGATTTGACATCTACGGTAATTGGGTTTTTATTTGTTGATTTGATTTAAGTTTTGTGTTTATCAAAATGGGTTTGATTTGTTTTTGCATTATTTGATGATTAACTTTGTTAATTTTGAATGTTTTTTTTTTTTTTTTTTTTTTTTTTTTTTTTTCATAGTAATGTAGTATTGGTTTATGTCAAGAAATGATATTGTAATGTTGTGATTGAAGTTGGAAACTTTTGATTGGTTTAGGATTTCTAAGTGTAATGTAGTTAAGTTTTAGATTTAGCAATGAAATTGATCATTTTTTTATGCTTCTATGTATGAATGGCCTGTGATATTAGCCCAATTCGTGGCCGATAGCATATGTATTGAGATGTTGTTGAAGTTGGCTGCCTTTTGGGAATTGGTGATTGTTTATGAATGTAGCATTGATCAATTTATTAGCTTGCTGTAGAAGTTTTGAGTGTAGTGTAAGAAAGATTTTGAATTGGCAGTTGGAGTTATCAATGCTTCTTTGTGTGAGTGGCACAGGTTCATAGCCGAAACCAATATTGATTTTATTACGATGAAATTATTGAAATTGGAAGCTTTAAGAAGGGATTCTATCATTTTTTGGGTTTGATCAAGAATTTAAGGCATTTGTGGGATTTGGTGAATGGATATAAAGTCAAAATCTTTGATTTTGTCTGGAATTTTCATTCCTACTTTATTCTAGTCTTCTAGATGTATATATCTCTATCTATTGTAATCCTGAGTAATACTAAGTCAGTTGCTAAGAGAGTGTCTACCTTCATTTTTGGAGAAATTAATATGTATGCAATTATTAATAATGTGAAACGTACATATGTTCAAATGACTTGTTTTGCGTTGAAGTTGAATCTTGTAGGACGACCTGTATTTTTGATCAAACAATATTGAATAAAGCAAATTTTATTTTGGATCAGTTAGAAAAATGTGTAATAATATACTTTGAGTAAAATGACTAAAATCAATGGTCCAATTTTGCCCTTTAAAAAAAAGGATGTCAACTCTTTAAGGGCTGGAGTAATTGGGTTTTGAAAATTAAGCTAATGGGATACATAAATGAACATATCCATACAATTTACCTTTGCACACCGAGAATCAGGAACTGATTGGTTGATAGGCTGATAATCTTAGTTTGTGCTTTAAGTAAATGTAAATTGCTTTATCGAGTGACTGATTGATGGGATTGGATGAAAGCAATGCACATACTTAGGGCACGTTCACTTCAGCCTAATTTCAGTTAAGTTCATCTCCAATCAGTTCAGTTCAGCTCCTAATTTCTTTCTGTCATAAAATATTCATTTCAGCTCTGTTCAGTTCAATTTAGTTCAGTTCAACTCAGATCCAATCAGTTCAGCTCAGCTCAGTTTAGTAAATGTGAACAGGACCTTAGTTGACAGAAGGTGAATAAAAAGATTTTAAATAGCTTGCCTAACTTATGAACATGTATAGGCAAGCTTTGGCATTGTAGCTTTTTTGCTGCTTAAATCAGAGAAGCTTTCTTAATCTTTATGCTGCTTATGTTCAGTTGATTTTTTTTTTAAAATTTTTTTTAATTATTAAAACTATATAGACAATGTCTCCTTGACCCCTCCCACCTCCCCTATTCCGCCCCTGCATTAACAAATAAGGGAACAAAGATAAAGAAAGAAACCATTCATATCCAATAATTTTAATGAATTGTTGTTTTCTTATGTATTTGTGAAGTAATAAGTTCAGTCAGCTACCTTTTTAATCAATGGCCTAAGCTTTTTGCAATGGTGGGGAATTAGGCTAGAACCATGTTGCAAGAAAGACTTTGTAAATATGAGACCCCTCTTTACAAAAGGGTCTCAGAAGTATTTGGTGGTTCTGGCTTTTGAATCTGTTAACTTATTGGTCTACTTACATTGTTCAAGTTTCTACTCCTTTTTAATATAATAATAAGAAATCTAGTGTTATTGCTACTTGAGCAAGTTATTCGCTCTTTATTATGATTCTTTATCATATCTATATAAGTTTTATGTAATATATGCAATCTAATTAATTGTAGTAAACATCTTCTTCTAACTTGGGTGTGTTATATTTTTGTTTGTTGATTGTTACCAGTGGTTTGGATTGGCCTCCATTTGGTTTTAACTGTCAATGACCACGAACTTAATCAGCTAGTACTTATTTTGTTTAAAACTTGTAGGAATGGTGTGAAAAACAAATGGAGTTCCTTCTCACTTATGGTAGGCCAGAAAAGACAAAAGCTATGAAAGCTGGGATTGCTCGGCATGCCAAGTTAGAGGAAGAGGTAATTTTTGTTTCAAACTGGTTGCTAAACATGATCTTCCTGGTGATTATCAAGCAACTCATGGTTTATATCATCATCTTTCTTAGCCTATTCTTGGTTCTTACATAGCTGCATTAGTTGAGGTCCTGTTAAACTAGGGGTACTTTACTCAGGTCCAGGTGTGTAATTTGTTGTGCTTTCGCATTGCGGATATGGGCTCAGTGGCTGCATAAGCTATCTCCAACTAACATCTCTAGTCTTAGGACCGAGGAGTGACTTGTAGCAACTAGCAAATGAAGATAAAATTAGACTTAATTATTGAGTTTTGATTTCCTAGTTGCCTGATTGTATTGAGCATCTGAATATTAGGTGCAGACAGAATTAGTATGAACAGCCGCTGGAAAGAATCAGACCGATAGGTTATATGCTCTTGAAGCTACATTCCATTAGAATATTTCACAGTTACCTCATGTGTCTATCAATTATATTTTTGAGAAAATTTTTGTTTTTGAGAATACTCTATAAAGTGATAATGATAGGAAATACACTGTATTAAGGTAAGAAAGACATTGCCTTTATCAGATTGGCAAGATTTGTAGAATTAATCTAAAGGCATCGATTGTTTAAGCTTTGAGTGGCTTTCCTCTTCATGGATCTACTTTTTTATAAGCATATCGCATATAATTATCCTAAATTCTGTGGTTACTGAGGTAAGGCTATATACATCTTTTTTTATACCCTTGGCAGTTTTCACTGTGTTGTTCTGTGTAATTTGTTACTTACTCGAAACTCTGTAAAGCTAGCAAAGGGAATGTTTTCGTAATGTTAATTGTGTTTGATTTCAAATCTTCAATCGGATTTTTATTTCCTTGTTATTTGATGTTTGAAGTCTTTTATCATTTCTATGTAAGAGAAAGGTGTGATATCTTTGCATACTGGTTGTTAAGATACTTACCTTTCTTATCATTTTATGACAGTTGCACTGTGTGATGTATGGCAGGTATCAAAAAAAGTAGAAGTACGTGTTGAGACACTTGAAGATATATGGGCTTTGAAGTTTATAAATTTTATCATCTGTGCAAACCAACTATTGTTTGACGGTTTAACACGAGAAATCCCTGTGTAAGTGGCTATATTATGTATCTTATTCTGACTTTTGCAATGACGCTTGTCATTTGTGTGACTATTGAATACCTACACACACACATAAATCCGTCAATCACAGATTAAGAACACTTAGTGTTTTGTTTTGATGTGAGAATCTATTATGTAGTAATTGGTTATACTTGTGTCTTGGTTTTGATGAGAATCTATGATGTAGTGATTGGTTATACTTGTGCCTTGGTTTTGATGCTTTTACATTGATGACCTGATACCTCTAGCAAAACACTAATGTGTAGCCTTTTTTGTGAGTTTTTGTCAGAAATTTGATTTATGTTAGGTTTGTCATGTTTTTGGATACAAACCATAATCCTCCAATGTTCCAAAGCTCAAGAAAATGATACTTACTCTGAACTTTGAGAAGTAAATCAAATTAAAATGGAACACGACAAAGCATACAATCTGGCTATGGACTTAATCTTCCTAGGTCAATTAGATTTTACCTAGGGTGGTTAAGAAATAGGATTTTGCACTAATTGGATACGCTAGCACCATTTAGCTGCTTTCAACTACGTTTGTAATATCCTGATCTCCCTCTTAGATCTATGTTACACCACTTGGAACATTAAAGCCTGATTCCACAAGAAGAGTAACTAAGCACTTGACATGTACAAATCATTAATTAAGAATTAGTTGTGTTTTCTTTTATATCACTCAATTTTGACAAATTTTACCTTAATAGTTGGGCTTGGAACTTGCCCATTTTGTACCTGCACTAATATTAATCCGGGTATGAACAAGGGATATGGGTTTGAGTCAGGCAAAAAAGTAGACAAATGGGATGTACTTAGCTGTTGAAATGAAATTGATGGAAGAGAAGCACAATCCTAACAGGCATTCCATGTGGAGAAACCAAATCTAAGATAAAATTTTGTGATTAAGACTATAGAATCAAATCCCAATAAGAAAACAGAAGACCAATAAACTAGAGGATCATATTATCAACGGAAAGAACACAAGCTTTGGGTTTCTGGCTTTGAGAAGAGGCAACTTCATTGGAGAATTTTTACTTGCCCGTCTCTGGTTATCGTTTGTTTTGGGGGAGGATACGATGCAGTGAGAAGTACAGAGAGATTTACTAATTGTGCTTGTTGTCCCTCTTAAGCCAGAACCATAACTTGCTTCTAGACGACTAGATCGTCCTCTGTTAGCGGAACAACTTCATTTTTCTCCAGCCTCCTCAGCTTGACTTATGGGCTACGACAAACAAGTTAATTCCAGCTCAATCATGTTTTAGCAACATTACAGTTCATTCGAATCCCCCCCCCCACCCTGCCCCCCAAAAAAAATCATGGTCTTTGGCAAATAAGATATCTAAGTGCAACTACGCAAGCAACATAGTAGAGTATCTGATTGTACAGTCTGCAAAAGTTTTGTAAGCTATTACTCGTAGAGTATCTGATAAAAGGTCTTTAAAACAGATTGGCAGCCCTCTATTTGGTGATATTCATTAACGAGTTGCATAATAAACCTTAGTTTATACTTTTATCACTGTATGTAGCTTGGAAGGTGGCTCGGTTGTTTAGGCACCTCTGTGGTGACTGGTAACTGTACTGAGCATGTTCATGGAAGTAAATTTGCAAGTCAAAGTAGATTTGGCTATATTTTTGTATATAATATCTTGCTCTTATATTTTGTTGTCGTTTTGGCAAACTGGAATAGCTTATGGTATTGGCTGTTCACGATTTCTTTTGTTTCCTTTATTTTATTTTAGCTTCCAATTGTTATGAGGTACTGTTTTGAAATGTCTGTTGAGCAATACTCTGTTTTTTAAATTTTCTTATTCGGTTATACATACAGATGTTACGTTGATATATCATGTCAGTTGTGTATCTAATGCAAGAATCAAATTAATACATGTATGTGTTAAATTACAAGCATTTATCAAAGAACAAGAGAGTATATTTCCGTTTAGATTAAATTCTCTTTAACTGTCCTTTACTTCAATTGATCTCTATAAACCAGCCCCTGGCCTTGGCTTTTTTCTAGCACGGGCTTGTTTGGGAACAGTAAGAAGAAGAAAGTTTCTGATTTTGATCACATTTGTTATACCATCAGAGTTGGCCTTGTTCAAGGTGTATGGATGGTGGGAGTGATTGATGAACTCCGGATGCCTGATGATGGGGAAAAAAGGAAGTTAACATTAGTTGATACAAAGACGCGTGGTCAGCCAAGGCTTCCTGCTGAACCACAATGCAGAAATGGAAGGTATTTTTTAACATATGACACAAGGCCATACTTATTTTTGCTTGTTAGTTTGACAATACTCTTCTTATATTTACTTTTAAATTTTAATTCTTTCAGGCTACAATTGAAGTTCTATAAGCGTTTGTGGGACAATATGGTCTCTAATAACTTTCCTTCTAAACAATTTTATGAACATTTTTCCATGGATCCTGAACACAAATTATCTGATGAAGTGAAGATGAATGCCGCTGATTCAGGTTTCCCTGCTGAGGTATGATGGGATTTTGCTGTTTTAAGTTGGATCATTAATAGGTCAGCAGAATGTATTTGTTCATTTGTTGGGGGAGGGGGGGGGGGGAATGGTGTTTTTGATTGGAGTAAATGAGTAATCCATCCCAAAGCTATAGTTGGGTGCCCTGGAGACATTTTAAGGTGGGAGTAAAGGGTATGGCGTATTGGCATGTACCGATGTTTCAACCTTAATTCTTCTGCTGGTGGTTTATAATCAAAAAATTCTGTTTTTTTCAATACTCTCTTTAGGACCACCTTTTTCATACCAAGATATAGATAGGGATTTAGAATGTATGGAAATATGTTTCATAGATCATAGCTGATATTTCTTAACTGGTATGTTGTATGTAGGATTCTTTCTTTTTTGTTATGATGATAACTAAAGTTGTTGACTTATAAAGTTATAATGTCTCGTATGGGCAGACACTTGGAGAAGTTGTAGGATACCTCAATAATGTTTGTTCTGCACTACCGCCTGCTCACGATCAGCTTCTCTTGAGGTATTGCTTGTTATGATCCTAAAATTGTTAAAAAATTTCTTATCGAAATATAAATCATTCTCTCTACTTTCTGATTCTAAGCTCTCATAAACCGAAAATACTCTGTTGCTGGATGTTAAGAGAATAAGTGTATATCAGTCTTCTTCAATTCATACGGTTATGACGATATTGACTTCTTTTTAGATAACCTCTTTTCTTCCTGATGTATCCTTGTGTTCAAGTAAAAATATATTAACTAAGGTTATGTTTTGTTGAAAGGAAAATGTTTTGAACTGAATTTTGTTTTCAATAGATGGGAAAGTAAGACAGAAATTAGGGAGAAAAATGTGGCAATTATTTCTTACAAAAGAAATGTGGGGTTACTAATTTCACTCTTGACAAACAAAATGAAAGAAATTAGGAGAACCAGTTTTTTTTGGAAAATGGTTATTCCCAACCAAACACAGCCTTAAAACATGAAGTTGTTAATTATATTCCAATGGCTTGTTTGTCTGGTGGCTTTGCAGATATGAACTTCAAGAGGATAACTCATTGATCGGCGAGGTTAAGTTCAGTTACGATGAGGACTGGCTTAAGGCTCAATTGCACAGCAGCCTTGAGTTCTGGAGGGGTGAGCGAGAAGCCAAATATGTTCCAGAGATGGAGAAGTGGAAGTGTCGATTTTGCCAATACGCAACTGTCTGTCCACAAACTCAAACTCAACTCGAAACTGAATCAAATTCTCAATCTAGCTCACAGAACAGCTAAAAGGTGGTGATCTTTAGTTTATTTTTCGCGTTCTTATTTGCTCGTAGTTGAAATTCATATTAATATCATGAATGCAAATGAAAAAAATTTCAGCTCAGAGTTATTTCTTGGGTGCAAATATAGGCAAAAATACATGTGCTAAGGAAGTAGTACTTTGAAATCTGCTAGGATATCAAGCAAATGTTGTACTTAATCATAATTATTGTTATTAATTAGCTAGGTGATTCATTCTTTGTAAAGCACAATTATGTAATTTAATCTTGTATCTTTAAAATTGGTGCTCTTGCGCTCACATTGATTATAGCTAATCAAATACTGCAAACAGGCCAAGATAAAAGAATGAAATTTGATAGTTTTCAAATTTTTCCTCCACTATACTCCCTTTGTCTGAAATTAATTTTTAAGATAAGACACCATTTTGCTTAAAATCTCTTTATACTAGTCAAAATTCACAAGGGAGATTGTAATTTATTTAGAGAGTATATGATAAATTGTGATTTTGGAGATTAAATTCATTATGTTTTTAATATAGAAATTGAGCAATGTCGAACATTAGCTTACTCCCTAGATAATAAAAAATTATAAAAACTTAATTATAAGGGGTCGGAATAATTTGACAATAATTTAAAGAATGCAAATATAATCACAACCATCTATCCCACAATTTATATTCTCATTAAAAACTGGCTAAGAAATACTATTTTCATACAAATAGAGTGTATCCATTTATTTTCACAATAAATAAAAGAACGTTTATTTAGTGACTTTTTTAAATAAATCAAAAACTTTTGTCAAATGTTAATTTATTTAAAAAATATTATGCTGATTGAAATTTAATTTATTTATAAATTTACCACTAAATAAATATTTTTTTGTTTATCATACAGATGAATCGGGGCTCCATTAGTTTTAATTATCGTCGTTTATTTTTTACACAAAATTCAATTTCCAAACAATCTAAATAACGAAGCTGAGAATTGAAGCAGATGTTTAAAATTATTTTAGACTTTGATTCTCTACTCAACCAGTGTCCTTCATAAAACCTTGACACCAAACTCTGTAAAATCCTGCATGAAAAACACGTGTCACCTCAATTCACTCCCATATTTTGCTACTTAAACCACAACTATGACAATCCAATTTTCCTTGAACTAATTAACAAATCATCATAAACCAAAAACAAAATCATGGGAAGTTTAAAGGGTATATTGTTGGTTGCACTTATAGTGTGCTACTCCATGCAAGTTGTGGTAAGTCAATATGATCATGAAGAAGAGAGGAGGGCTAAGGAGGAGGATTGGAAAAGGAGGGAGAGGACGGCGGAGGAAGAAAGGCGACACCGACATCGGAGTTGGGATGAGGATGAGGACGAGGACGAGGATGAAGAAGGGGGGAGGGAGCCGAGGCCAAAGCTGAGGCCGGAGCCGTATGGACCAGGAGGAGGGGGGAAGGGAGAGATGTTTTTGTTGAAGGATTCAAAGAAGGTGGTGAGTACACAAGCAGGGGAAATGAGGGTGGTTAAAGGGTATGGAGGGAAAATTGTGGAGAGTCCACTTCATATTGGTTTTATTACTATGGAACCACGTTCACTTTTTGTTCCTCAGTACATGGATTCTTCCTTGATTCTTTACATACGTAGAGGTATTATTCTCTCATTTCCTATCTTTTTTGTTACATGGTGTAGGTAATGGTCTGTTTTATTTACCTGATTTTCAGTGATCTTAATTAGATCTTATTAAAATTTATTTTAGTTGTAATTTGTTGTTGGGTAACCCTTATCAGAACTTATTACATGAAATAAGTGAAAATAAAGTAAACAGAACAGACACTAGCATGGTGACTATTTGTATTGATTAAAATGAAACATGACGTAGGTAACAATTGTTTGTATGGTGCATATGTCAACTTTATCACAAGAATTATTTGTTTATGTATATATGTACAGTTTCATATATGATTACATGACCCTAGATTTCATTACAATCATGTATCTTAACAATAAGTAATTTCTTAGTATTCTAGCGGATAGTCGTCGTTAATATGAATTCTTGATGTGCATGTGTCTCGTGAATTATTGTTTTCATAAATATGTAATCTCTTCATTAAAAATCTTATAGTGATGATTTTATAAGTTCGGATAAGTTTAATTTCAAGCTAATAAGCTTGGATTTATATAATTGAGGACTAATAAGTTTAGATTAGTTTAAATTTATTCCGATCGAGCTATTGAAACTACCTTAAAAGAGATTGATTGTCACCCCTACAATAAAGAAGAGGTACCCTTGTCAAAGTTTAAAGGAGTTCTATCTCTTTGATTTTCATGGCTACCCTCGTCAAATTTTATGTATGTTTTCGAGCTTAGATCAGCCCTTAGTCTAAATTATTGATAGCTACTAAGAAGTTTTTGCTTACCAATCCATAGCTAGTAAGAACAATTTGTTATAGCTAGAGATAATTTATTGATTTTTTTTCCTTTTGTGTTCCATTTATCTAATCATCTTGATCCGATTGCACTATGCAAGTATGCAACAATCAAAATTAGTAGCACACACATGGTACATAAAAAGTGCGATAGAGGATTTGATCTTCTAATGCTCCGATCCTTAATTAGATATCGCGTGCTTACATATTTGAAATGGACTTGCATGAAATTCTGAATTCGAACGATTGTGCTATACTTGAAAGACTGTATGTGTGAAAGAAATTTAAATTATTAGACGATTACAATTCTGACAATGTAGGTGGTTTATAATTAATATTTATATATTTCGGTTTAAATTCTTTAGGTGAAGCAAAACTTGGATTCATCTATGATGATAAGCTATCAGAAAGGAAACTAAAGAATGGAGATGTCTACAGAATTCCAGCTGGTTCAACTTTCTATATTGTTAACACTGGGGAGACTGAACGGCTTACTATCATTTGTAGCATCGATCCCTCGGAAGGCTTGGGCTTCGGTACCTTCCAGGTTCGCAAACTCTACTTTCAAATGAAGAGTTTTTATGTGTTAAACCGTTTAGTGTATCAGTTTATTTTACTAGATTTCTTGTTTGATTATATTCTTTTCTTTAGTCTTTCTTCATCGGAGGAGGAAGAGATCCTGTTTCGGTGTTGGCTGGATTTGATCCTCAAACTCTTTCCACTGCGTTTAATGTGAGCAAATCTTCCCTTACATTTTCTCGGTTTCTTCTTTAGTTTATTTTTGGTCATCTAAGTGAAATTCAAAGGTTTTTACCTTACTATGCGATTTTATGCACAATAGTCACACATTTTCCTAACTAATTGATTTGTATGAATATGAAAGTTTCCAATGTATGCATCCTAGTGTAAGACTAAGCTTTCTTATGTATTATATCTGTGATTTCGTTCCAAAATCAAGCATCAAGGGTCTATAGTGATGTTGGAGTAGTGTCGAGGATTCAACACGGTATTTTAAGTGATATGAAGAGTCCAAACAACATAGCATACTGCGCTTTGAGATAGTGAATTAGACTTTACGAGAAGCTTACTCTCTCTTTAATGACTATATATGAAATGAATATAAAGATGTAAAGATTATGAATTATTTCTTATCAAGTGGTGATTATTGTTTAATACATAGGAAATGGTTTGGTTAATCTAGTTAGAAACTTGCTTAAATGTTAATTATTATCGTCCAAGTTATAAAGGAAGTGTGTGTAACATGTAACTATTAATTCTCAAAATGAAAATTGTGATTTTGTAGGTCTCCACAGGACAGTTGAGGGAATTCATGACAGGTCAAGATGCAGGGCCAATCGTATATGCCGATACAACCCATGCTCCTAGTTTGTGGGCGAACTTCCTCAAACTAAAGGGCGAAGAGAGACTAGAACGTCTAAAGATGGTGGCACCAAATGCTGGTACTGATGAGCCTAAAATAGAACAACCCAAGAGTTCTTGGTGGAACTTTTTTTATTCTACCGAAAACAAGAAAGGGGAAAAGAAGAATGATTCGCGAACAGGTTCTAGGACTCTTACAATCTTCGCGATCAAACACCTAGTTTCAAAAACGACTATGGCTGGAGTATTGCTGTTGATAAGCACGAGTATAAGCCACTTAAGAAATCCGGCATTGGACTCTACTTGGTTAACTTGGCAGCGGTACGTTTTGTTTTGAGTTTATAGTTATGTACTTGCATGTATTAAAAATTTGCTTAGATTAGTTTGTTCTTTTCTATTGAGATCATTGTGTCCCTTTTGTTTATCCTGCAAGGGCTCCATGATGGCACCTCATGTAAACCCCATGGCAACAGAATATGGCGTCGTGCTATCTGGGGTTGGCACCATCCAAGTCGTCTTCCCTAATGGCACATCAGCAATGAATGCGGAGGTGAAAGAAGGTGATGTGTTTTGGATACCAAGGTACTTCCCATTCTGCCAGATTGCTTCTCGGTCTGGCTCGTTTGAATTCTTTGGGTTCACCACCTCTGCCCATGAAAATCGGCCTCAGTTCTTAGTTGGCGCTTCTTCCATCTTAAGAAGCATGCGCGGCCCAGAATTTGCTACTGCTTTTGGTTTGACAGAAGACAGGTTCTATGATATAATAGATGCACAGAGGGAGGCTGTCATTCTCCCTTCACCGTCTGCTGCTCCACCCGGTGACAGGCCAGATTCGAAGGAAAAGGAAACAAAACCCGACGAGAGGTCAGAGTCCGAGGGACAGGGTAAGAAGGCGGACGAGTCCAAGGGAGAGGAGAAGAAAGTGGGGATTGAGAAGGTGCCAAAGTTTATGAGAAGCCTAGGCAGTGAAATGATCATAGGTTTTGAGTAATTTGTAGTAATGCTTCTTGTATCAGAGTAGTTAAATTATAATTTGTGTCTAATTTGTAGTTTTTGGCATGTCAGTAAATTTTGTGTTTCTTCACAGATTTACCTTTTGTCTATGAGTTGTAAAATAAAAATGCAAGATGATTTTACTTTTGTTTTTCTGTAATTGATTGGGATCATCTGACTAGCTCTTTATTTTGGTAAATATTTATTTATAATTATGCTGTTATTTTTTCCTATGATCTTGATTTCTAAAATAATCACAAAGTTCGAAATTAAAAATAATAATATTCTTACTAAGAAAAATTGTCAATATAAATTTAAGGATAAATTAGAAATTAATACCATAAATTTCTCAAAAATTGGCACCACACCATACAAGCTTGTTTCATAAGGAAATTCATGTCATTTGCTGATAGAACTTGAGCATCGTGCTTATTGGGCTATCAAAACATTGAATTTCGACCTTTAAAGTGCCGGTGAGAAGAGGTTGCTTGACCTTCATGCCTTGGAAGAATTAAGATTGGATGCATATGAGAGTGCACGGATGTACAAAGAGAAGACCAAGGCTTAGCATGACAAGCATATCAACAAGAGAGAGTTCAAGGAAGGTGACAAGGTCTTGCTATTCAATTCCTTGTTAAAGTTGTTTCCGGGTAAGCTTAAGTGAAGATGGAGTGGCAATTTAAATCTCCAATGACAATGGTGAACCGTTCAAAGTGAATGGCCAAAGGCTTAAGGCATACTTTGACGGTTTTGTTCATGAGGAAGCCAAGGTTGTTCACCTTAATGAGTTTGATGTCCCTTATTCGCGTTGATCCTGCAATGTCGTCAAGCTAGTGACGTTAAAAGAGCGCTTTCGGGAGACAACTCGAGTTTCTCGACCTCTCTTTCTTTAATCATCATTCCATTTCCATTAATTATATTATTACTAACTTTTCTCTTAATATCTTTTGTAGGTATTGATGAAAAGAGAAGTAAGAAAAATATACTCCCTCCGTTTTTTTTATTTACATCACTTTCCTTTTTGGGGTGTTTTTTTTTAATGCATCACTTCTATATTTAGTAACTTTATACTATAAATTATTATTTCTCTCTCTTACTTTAAACCCCACTCAAATTATTTTATCATATCTCTATCTTCCATGGTCCTCACTAAAATAATAAAAATATCTATCCTCTTTCACATACTTTCTCTTTCATACTCCCCATCTTACTTTTATTATAATAATTTATTCACCCACTCACAATATTATATTACTCTCCTAAAACTTTGTGCAAACCAAAGTGATGCAAATAAAAAAGGACAGAGGGAGTATTTGGAAGTGAAGTAGTGGGCTTAATAATAATTATAATAATAATAGTGATAATAATAATCTATTATTATTATGCCTTATTGTTATAATTATACGAAAAAAGACTAAAGTCGTACAACATCAGGTCTTCAGGATGTGTAGAGCATCGCACGTTTGTGCAAAAGCAGTCAACAGCAGGCAGAACCTTGAGCATTATGAAATTTTCAAGTTTGGCATGGCCGTGCCAAACTAAGCACGTCAGTGCAAGAATAAGTTGCATGTCCGTGCAACCTGCTAACTGAGGCTGCACATCCGTGCCGATTGTTGCACGTCTGTGCAGCCCCATAAAACCGAGGCAACAACACGGATTTATGTAAACAAAATAAAAAAATTCATTCTTTCACTCTTTCTCGCACCGGAAATCCCCACTATCTCTCTCTCTCTCTAAAACTCCTTTCCTCCTCCTCCGTACTCACTCAAATCTACCTTAAACACCCAAATTCTCACCCAAAATCAACATATTTTCACAAAATCTACACTCCTTTTCAAAAATTTCCCAAACTACTACTCCTTTTTCCACATTAAAACCCAAATATCACGCAATTTCTCAAACCCTAACCCTTAAAAATCAATTTGGGGGTTTTCTTGTGGGTTAATTTTTGAAGCAATTGGTTGAAAGAGAGAACTCAAGCAAGCATAAAGAAGGTTTGAACGGTTCATTTGCGGGTTTTACACACTACAAGAAAAAAATTAATTTACTGCTATTAATTTGCTGCATTTTTTACATTTCGCTGCAAATTAAAGCGGGTTTTACATACACCTAACATTAAAAGTATTAATTAAATAGTGGTTTTTCCTGAGATCCGCTGCAAATCAATTACTTCGCATTTTACATTTACTCTAAGCCCTATTTCCTTAGCCGCCCCAAGTCATTTATTTCTCTCTCTCTCTTCCCACATTCATCTTTTCTCACTCACCTCTACCGACCCTCTCTCTCTCACTGGTATCCTCACCGACGGTTATGATTGCTCACTGACCTCACCGACGATTCTAGTTTCTAACTGCACAACTTCAACTATCTCACTCACCCTTGTTGGCGTTGGGGTCTAGGTTCAATCAAAATCTTACGCTCATCTCAACCTTGTATATTATTCCCAAAGCTAAGGTATCTAATTGAGAACGAAATAGGTTGCAAACTGTGATAATTGAGGAAGTGAATGTTAATTTGTTGCAGAAGATTAAAGATATTAAAGGTTGATTTTTTGCAAACTAAGTTGAAATGGGTTTGAGTTTGTGAAGAAATTTGATTTGAGCATGTTTGAAATTCTTGGGTTAATTTGATGAATACAATTGTGTTATTTATTATTTTTAATTGATTTTAAAGTTGATTGTTCATCATCAATGTTAGATCTGACCGTGTATGTGATTTGATTATTAAGCTCTTTTTTTTTTTTTTTTTTTTTTTTTTTTTTGTTGATTTGATCTTAGTGTTGTTGATTGTTAGTCTTGAATTTGGCTAAATCTTGTAGAAATAATAATTTGAGATTTTTTAGTGCCATTATCTGAATTTTCACGCAAAACTAACTCGGAATGTCATAGAGCACTTGCTACCTTTGTTGTTGTGGTGCCTAGTTTAAGTAAGCTGAGTTGACAAAACTAACTGATACATGTGATTAATTGATGATTATATGGTGTATTTGTCACCCTCTTTTTTCAATGGTATAAATTACTTTGTATAACAGAATTTATGCTTGATTTGTTGCAGATAGCTGAAATGGCTTTATGTTTGTGGGGGAGGAGAAATGGAGGACATAGAATGTTTTTAAGGGAACCAGATGAGTAGGATTTGAGAGCATTGGACTTGTGGGATGGAAGGATAATGGAAAACTGAGATTTAGAGATAATGAATAATAAAACCGATCTAGATAGATATGATCCATGCAGGTAATATATCTTAAAAACTGTCCAATGTAGTCCTCTAGAATTTGTATATTTTTAATCTTTCTGCATACACATATGCTGATTGTGTAGTTTTTTCTTATCTTTCCTCAAGATAGATGCTACTCCACCAATGAAGGAACATTAAGCTAATCATTTGTTCTTCTCGCCTTCATCTTTTTTTGTTTTCCCAAGATATATGGATAATATTTGTTGCATATGGTAAATTTAAGACTTCTTTTTAAAAACAAATTTAACTTGGGATATTTGCTAATCATATGTAGGATAAAAGCTACAAATTGATAATGTCAAATGATGAAGCAAATTTTAACATAGGTGTTGGTGCTGCTTGTGTTGTTGCTACCTACTATTGCTGCCCGATTAACGCCACAACTGTTGCTGCGCCAGATTAACACCAGTGTTGCTGTTGTCTTCTGTTACTCCTTTGATCATCAGATTTTAGAGTTTGTAATATTAACAGCGGCTTTATGTTATGCTGCTGCAATGTCTAATGTTGTCCATTTTTTTATTTTATTTTTTTTAGAGGTGTAATTTTACAGGAACTTATGGAAATATTTAAGTTTATATATAAAATATATAGGTCTTTGAGTATCAATTTCAGGTACAATTTTTTTTTTGTTGGTAGTTGAATAGAGTAGGTTAGACAAATAAAAACCCAACAATTATAATTTTTTATAAATTGTAAAACATATTTATTTGCAGGGGTTAATAGCATTAACCGCTGCAAATGAATCAATTAATTTGCAGCAGTTGTTAACCGCAGCAAATCAATAATTGATTTGCTACCCTGGTGTTTGCTGCCCCTTCAAAAACGCAACAAATTAATTATTTTTAACCGCTACAAATAAATATTTTTCTTGTAGTGACACCCACAATACGTTCGGTATAATCGTTCCTTCCTTTCATTACTTTCTTGCTTAAATTCTTGAGTATTGTGTATTAAATTTCTTGGAAAGGTTGTTTGAATTGGTTATGTGTAAATGATAGGTGATGATTGTTAAGCATTTTTGAAATTTGGAGAAATTTGTGATTGTTGATAAAATTGGGTTTTTGTGACTAAGTTTGAATGATTTGGAGTTGAGTTGGTGAATGAATGACATGATAATCATATTCATGTTGCTGTGACTAAGCTTGTTGTTGAATTGGAGTGGTAAAGTCCTTATTGCCTATTTTGAGACTTGCTTGAATATTGATTCTAGATGGCGGACTTAGAACGTGACTTAATTTGTGTGGTGCTTGTTGGTGTTGTGTGAATTGAACCTTCATTTGTTGGCTTAGTAGACCTAGTACTCTTTGTGTGGTTGTTGTGGTGATTTCCTTGTTTTGGTTTGTTTGATTACTTTGCATAAAGACCGACAATGTCTTGAAGAAAATGACCTAGAAACACCGATGCTAGGTACCGCAACCCATCACCTCCTCCTCCCGTTGCTCCACCACAAGTGGATTCAATGGGGATTTTGTTTAATGATCCAACCTTCTTATCCAACTATGTTAGGAATAGTAGGAGGCAAGTTAGGCCAATCAAGTTTTACAATGATGACGTATCCGACTCCTTAGGGGTAGGGGGAGATGTAAGAATGCTTTTTGAGGTTTCCAGCCTAGGACCTTGGCTATATTTCATGCCCTCACCTACAAGATATTGATTCTTGAGTTCCTTTCTACCCTCTATGTGCACCGAGACACGACCCGGACCCCCCGATACATAACCTTCCAGCTCATGAATGCCAACCATAAAATGACTATTAGAAGGGTTAACCAAGCATTTGGGTGGCCAACGACCGTAACCAGAAGACCCAAGGATAGGTACCCCCATAATTATAATGCGGGGGAGGTTTGGAGAAAAATTATGGGCCTTTTCGAGTACAACCCTAGGTCCGATAAGGCCACAACCAATATCCACCTCGATTTAACCCTGCCTGGACAACTTGACTTTAGGAGGCCGTAACTTCTTTGTTTCTTGCCAAAAATAGACTTATGACCAGTCTTTGGAAAGATCTTGAGATGAAATTTAATCTTCAATTTGAATCACTTTAAAAGGTTGAGTATTTCAAAATTTATAGTCAATTGAAGTTGACACTTACGCAAACAACCCTTCATGGCTCTCCAAAAGCTTTTTATTTCTCTTTAAGGCACTCATCCTTTTTCCTCCATGTCTCTATCAACAAAGATTTCCCTTTATCCTTTCTCACTCATTCTTGATCACATATATAGTGCTAAAAATAGCTACATTAAACAAAAACAAAAACAACCCGAGAAGCATGGATGGTACAAAATTTGCATAAAAATAGGATAAATAATGAACTTTGATGCCGAATGATAACGAAATTAAGGTTCATAAGTACGCTAAAATCATACCAAATAACATGCTATCAAATCCCCCTAAGAAAGCTTTTGCTCGACCTCGAGCAAAACAATAATGTCAAACCAAAGTAGGGAAATAACTTGCTAGAATCATAACAAGGAGGGGCAACAACGAGAATGTACATACACACTAATCCTCATTAGAGTGTAGTTAAAATCGGAATTGGGTGAATTCCGCAACATGTACCGGCATTGGTACCCTAGGGGCTCAAGCTCTCAAGGAGGCCCGAGCTAATGAGTTAGTATTCTTCCTCCTCTTCTCTTTATGCTTATATTGTTTTAACATTGAGGAAAATGTTTATGATAGCTTGGGGGGGAGTCTTTTTCTTGAGTCATTGGCTCATATGTTGGTTCATGTGTGTTGTTGTGTTGTCATTGAATTTGCATGTTGTTTGTTCCCTTTCCTTAGCATCCAAATCCCTTTAATCCAAACTTGATCCATTTTAAATCCAAATTTCTTAACTTGTGAACACTTCTCTTATCTCCTTATCTAGATGTATAGATATGCTTTATCTTTATTCTTAGCTTAACTTAACATTGTAATTATTCTTACTTTCTAGTATGCTTTCTAGTATAAAAATAATAAAAAAAACAGAAAAAAATAGCCCAAGGATGAGACTCAAATGACGATGGTTATGTGTTTTGCATGCTTGATTTTTAAGTGATGAGTAAAAGTTCTTTTAAAAGGGCGTGTGCAAGAGTTGGAGTCATTTAGAGGTCTATTAAACTTGATTGCATCAGAGCATATGAAATTAAAACGATGAATGCTCAATTGCATGTCTAGCATAGGATATTGTCAAATTTTCCCAAAGTATGACATGTTTAAATTGAAATGCAGTCCCTTGTGCCCTTGATATGCCCCTTTTCTTCCCCAAAATGAAACTCTATTAGGAAATTGGTTCTATTTGTATCTTGTGTAATAAATGGAATAATAAGCCACATGTTTGGTATAAAATAAAGAGGCGTTCACAGTTAAAAAAGGTGAGGGCAATGACTAAAAAAAGGGAGAACAAAAACTCCCCCAAAATTCTCAAAATTTTCACTTTATCTTATTTAGAGGTCAACTTGTGGATGCCTCCCACACAATGTTTATTTTAATGTTTCTTGTGAAATTTCCGAGTTAGAGTGTAGTTAAGGGGCTTGGATGTGCATTTCGAGAGGTGGACTAGCATTTTGAGATTTTGTAATCGAAAGAGGGCTTGTTACAAGTTTGGAATATCTAGATGTTCTCTAATGAGCTAGTAAAAGGTCTAAAGAAATATCCCAGTGCAATCTTTCTTAGTTCTCCTCTTTACCCCTAACTCATATGCACATTTATATGATTGGTAATTCTTAAAAGTCGCACACTTGTTTCGCTCGCTTGTGATTTATATCCCGATGAGTTGACTTGGGTGATAAAAGCATTGGAAATGGTGTGGTTTGATTACTTTGATAGTAATGGTGTGGTTTGATAGTTTTGGTGTGGTTTGTGTGATTTGTGGGTTAATCTCAATGGAAACCCTCACGAGATAAAAACATGTCCTCTTAGGCGACTATGAAGTTTAAATTGCTTTTTTCACTTGTGCTAAAAGTGATTATGATTGTTACCATGCGGATTTGTGTTTTTGTGCTTCCTCCTTGTTACCTTTCCTTGCTTTGATCATTAGAAACTTATTTTCCTTCTTGATTTGGCATTTTTTTGCCTGAGGACTAGCAAAAGCTTAGCTTGGGGGGATTTGATAACTTGTTATTCAATTTGGTTTTAGGGTGATTTTGATCCTTGTTTACTTGATGAATTGGTGTGGTGCTTGTTGGTGTTGTGTGAACCTTGATTTGTTAGATTAGTAGACCTAGTACTCTTTGTGTGTTTGTTGTGGTGATTTCTTTGTTTTGGTTTATTTGATTACTTTGCATAAATACCGACCATGTCTCGAAGAAACCGACCTAGAAATTAAACACCGATGCTAGATTGCAACCCATCGCCTCCTCCTCCCGTTGCTCCACCACAAGTAGATACAATGGGGATTGTGTTTAATGACTCGACCTTCTTGGCTAACTTTGTTAGGAATTGTAATACCCCGTATTTTAATGTATTATATATATATTATTTATTTAATAATAAAATATATTTTGGGTCAAACTATTTTAATTATTGGAATATATAAATAAAACAAGTTTTGGGTCAATAACTAATTAATCTAAATGTAGCCCATTTTCACTATAAGGCTAATCATTTTAATTACTTATTTATTTGGGCCAATTATTCTTCCCATCATACCATTTCTTATGAGGCCCAAATAAATATAATTTACCCTATTCTATAAATATCCCTTTGACCCCCAAATTTGCCACACAAAAGTCAAAGGGGTAAGCCTTTTTTTTTCTTTTCCTTCTTCCTCATTTTCTTTCTCTTGTTCTTACTTTTCTTTTCCCCTGCTTCACGTGAACTGCTCACAATTCAAGGAGAAGTTGGAAGCTTTGCTCCTCCACGTCACCCGCCACCTCACACCTGCCACGTCACCAGCCACCTCCGGCTGCCCAGTAGCCGCCGACGACCAGCCGACCACCACCACCACGGGTCACCTCCTTTTTCCCTTTTCTCTCCTCTTTCATTCTAGCTATTTTGATGATTTTATTTATGGGTTTTGGTTTTAATTATTCAAAGTATGTTTGATTAGTATCATAATTATGTTTTGATGATTAAAGATTGTAAATTTTAAATAATAAAGTGTTTTATTTTCAGATTTCATAAAATTATAAGTTAGAGTTTTTAATTATTAAAGTGTTGATTTTTAGGGTTCTAACTCACAATTGATTTGGGGGTTTTATATACCCATTGATTGTAAGTGGTAATAAAGCTTAAGGATTGTATCTTTATGGAGTTTTAATGAAATTTTAATGGGTTTTTGTTAATAGAATAATGCTGGAATTTTTATTTACATACTACTTTTGTGTATTAATTAAAGGGAGTTGATTACCCACAAGTAGAGAATATTCTAAGTGGTTTTAATATAATTTTCAGATTTTTTTTAAAGGGTTTAAGCCTTAAAAAAGTATGCTGGAATTTTTATATGAACACTATAATTGAGTTTTCACTTTTTGGTTTTAATTACTCTCTTAAAGAGAGAGTTTTAAAGGTTTTAAACCAAAATGTTAGCTTGCTAGTGAGGTTTTAAAATGTTTAAAAGTTGCTGGAAATTTGTGTATACTAAGGTAATTAATATAGGTTTGTTATCCCTTTATGTAGGAGACTTG